GTTTTTAAACGACTCCATTGTCCTTTTTGATCGACTCAAAAAGAGGTTATCAATTTGACCCTTGTAATGCTGCGATGGTCTATCGGTATTTCTAAAGTTACAATGTAATTTATTTAATTTTTTTAACATCAATAGTTTAGTAACAAAATGTTCATCACATTTTCTCCGATAATATTAGTCCAATAGTTTTTTGTTTAGATATGCCTCACCAACCTTTGGTTTACCCTTTAGAGAGAGAAGTTTATGATAAAAGCTTAGTAAATACTCCTAATAATACTTATTCGAGCGAATACCAGATTTGGCACAAATCTAATGGACTGGTAAATAGTTAAATACACAATCAAATACCTACAGAAATGTATGTTGTGCTAGTCAGGCTAATTCAACGGTACACTAACTTCGTTTTGTAGCTAGTTTAATCGCAAATATTTGAACAAGAATGTGGAGTAGGTAAGTGGTATCATGTTCAGCGATAATTGCCATTGCGAACTTAAATACAAGTTATTTTAATACTTTGCTATTATGAAACAGAGCTTCATTTGCTTTGGCCTATTTGGGCTTATGTGAATTTCATGAATTACTATTTATAGCAGCTATAAAGTATGACAGTAGAAGTAAAACAGCAAAATTACAACCCGTAAAAGTAAGTACAACAAAAAACGTTCAACGCAGAGACCGTAAATAAAATTGCACGCAGATTGTCGGGGACCCAAATTGCATAATATTCGGATGGCCGTCAGTTAAGCCAGTCACCGCACAGACTAGATAGAGCTGTGCTTCTGACACACAAAAGAAAAAAAAACATTTCCCGCAAATGGTGGAGGATTTGGAAATTTATGTTCGTATAATCTGTAGTTACGTTTCACTTCGCTTTCATACCCGCAAATGTGGTCCCGTTGGCTTATTGTATATAAAAGGACCACCGCATTGAGGTCCTTTAAGGTCTGATTTAGTGGGACGATTTTTGTCGCATTGACCTACTTTTTGAAGAGATATCGCGAGACTTTTGACCGTGGTGTGAGCATCGCCTGAATCAATCTGGGATTCGTCAAGTCACGTTTGACATTACGGCTGCAGTAAAATATACGGTTCATTGGTGCAAATTTTAGAACACGGTCCAGTAAATTTTGATCGTTATGATGGCTAGGCATCAGAATTCGATTTTAATGTTTAGTGTTGTATTTAAGGTTGGCAGTGTCGTTTCGAGAAGGTGGTTGCGGGTCGTAGGCGGGATGTTCAGCAGTGCGTTCATACGGAAGACTCGTCGGTGTCACTTTAGTTTATTATTGTTCATACAGCCTGTCCAACCTCTATAGACTGTCATTGTTTGTGTCAGCTTTCGTGCTGTAATAACAACTTAATTCAACGCCATGCGTGGGTGGAAAGCTTTCATCAAATTAGAAAACCTATTACAAAAGTAAAGAACATTCATCAAATGATAATATTTATTAACTTTTTTATATTACATGCTGAATTCGAAATTATTATTTTCGGATCAATACTAGAACACAGTTGTACTCGTTATTTATTCTGTAGTTCTAACTACTCAGATAATCTGACAGATAGATCATAAAATTGAATGTGTATTTTTAATTTATTCCATAAGTAGGCTGGTAGGTATAATTATATAAGAGGTTCAATAAGATGTCACTAACTAATTCATCTATTATAAATGATTATTTGTAAGATACTAAAAGGTTCATATTCAGATTCATCTCTTACAAAAATGTATGCACAATTTTACAACACAAAAAGGATACAAAATATGTACCTAACTACTACCTTATTATAAAAATAAAAAATGGAAGACTTGTAGAGGACAAAGGTACTCTTTTTCATAGTTAATTAAATTATAATACTTAAGTTTAGTAAAAATGAGTAAGTTTACATCAACAGAAGAAGTACACAAAAAGTATTTAGTTTTTAAATTGTTGTTCCAGATCTCACTATGATGTTTAGATGTAAAATTATGTTTTTGCACACATCCACAACACAGGAGAAAATTGTATTTTAGGACAAACCTATTTCTAATTTTATTCCTAGTTCTAAATTTGATTTATAAAAAAAATATTTCTAAACAGTGTTGGCGTGTTTACCATATGCTATTAGAAAATGTAAGTAGGTACTGTATTGTTTAATATAATAATTATAGTTATGTTTTTATACTACAATATAATATAGATACTTGTACACTTATTGAGATAGAACTTGAGAAGACATATAATGGATAGTTGTACTATGTAGAGAAACACAATAAAAGTATTGTTTTACAAGTTGATAAAATATTATAAGAGCTAACTATAAAAGTATAAAATATAGTATTTCTATAATGTTTTCTTTTTGTTCTTGAATGGATAATAGTTAGTAGACTAAGGGCCGATTTTTCAATCATCAGTAATAATTCTTAACTGTAGAATAAAAATGAGGAATCCAGATACATTTTAACTGAGGAATAACTTTGAATATTTTACAGTTCTTCCATACTAAAAACTGTCAAATGTCAATTTTATTCTACTGTTAAGAATTAACTGAAGATTGATAAATCAGACCTAAGTAGTTAAAATGAAAAGTCTATAATTTGATAAGTTATTGAGAGAAAGATCCTAAATAGGATTTGTAAGTGTAATATTCGTCAACAATAAATCAATTGTAATTTTTAAAGTATAGTCAAAAGTCTGACTGTCGAATTGGGAAAATTCTGTAATGAGAGTGCAGTGTAGTTAGGGATGATATTTACAATAAACAAATAAATAGGTTGGTATATAATTTTGTTCATTGTAAAAATTGTTTTTCCAGAAATTTTGATTGATGATTTTATAACTAAGTAATGCCAAAAATAACAGAACAATGTCATGGTTTCTTTAACAGTGCTATTATCTAACTACCTATAAAGCTTTTTACTTATATGATTCTGAAATCATATAAATAAATAAGCTCAAACACTGATGTTTGTGGGATTACAAATAAATAGATCAGATACCTAATAAACAACATGTCTACTACAAAGTAAATTTAATAGAAAATTAGGAAAGGAAAACTGTTTCGATGACAGTAAAGTAAGTTAGGAAAGAATATACAATGTTTATGAACTTCAAGTTACTCAATTTAAATATCTTTTATCTTCAAGTTAGTTTATGTGTATTTTTGTTATGATTATACACCTAAAATGTTATATTTTGTAACATTACTACCTACCTGCTGAGCTAATATTACTGAATTTAGATCAGTCAGAGATACCTCCAACAAGACACAACTTTTAAATTGTAATAAATAGGTATTTTCAACGTAAGTAAGGCTTTTATTATCTTCTAGACACACACTAATTATCGTTTTATTTAATTTGAACATTTTGGTATATAATTTAAACCATCCAGGGTTTTAGAATTGACATCTCTGTAAGATGAAACTTAATTTATTGAATTGCAATTTATTTTTAGGTGGTGGGTACATTAAAATAGTCAGAAATCTTAAATGATCACTAGGTCATTCCAGGATAGAATCAAGTTTTCTGGATGCTCAATTTCATATTAAAATTCTAATTAGAGAATTAATAAGATCCATTATCAAATGCCTGATTAAAACTAGGTCAATTTCTCAAAATATTTCTCATCTCAAAAAGATTATTGAAATCTAAATAAAGAGATAGGTACTGGTTAGAAATTGAAAATACCTGTAAACATAACCAGCACCTACAGACTACAGTATTTTATAAATTGATCATGTAATCGTTGTAAACGCTCGTCACAAACAAGAGAAAGGAGCGAGTTTAGAAACAAAAAAATATGACCTTTACGGCCGAAAATGCTCGGAAACCTAGCCAACTCACGACATACCTTATCTCCTGGTATGTTTTTCGCCGACATGGTGTGTCACCTTTCTGTTCTGTGTTCTGACGTCGTCTTGGGGACGATTTATCCAGAGGAAGGATCTCACTGTAGCCGTGAGAGCCCAGCATACGACACAAAACACTCCACTTTACCAATCACTTGGCCATTATCACTGATCGAAAGATGCATTAAAGCCACAAACATAATAATCGACCCATCGTTTGGAGTCGTAATCAGCACGATTTCCCATTGAGATTCATCGACACAGATAATTTTTCACAACACTATACACAAACACAGCGACTGACAGAAGCTAACTTGATTGAGTTGAGCTTGACGGAAAATGGCGAGGGATGGATAACGTCCCTCCCGTCCCGCCTCTCGCCCCGCGCATGCCATCTATATCACAACAAGTTCCAACAATTTTTCTAGAGGGCACCGCTATACAATAACAAACAATGTCCTTGAACAACTTAGATATTTTAATCAATAGATGGCGCAGTAAGTAAAATATATTTTATTGTCAAAAAATGTAGATTTAACGTTGCAGCCGATTAATTAGTACCAAGTTTGATAAAAACAAAATTAATTACAAGTTACGCACCGATATAATAGTATCAATTAAAATGTTTTGTTTATACATGTCCAATCAATATGTGTTCTATTTATAATAATAGCTTGCTGTGCCATCTATTTTACAAAAGACAAAACTACGAAGTGGTAATTGCTCTAATATATTATTATTAGTATCCAAATCCAATTGTATTGTAAGATTACTAATTGATTTTTATCAAATTTTAACTACAACTAAAACATTTACACATATAAAAACTCTAGTATTATACCAATAATATTTATTAAACCAAAGCCATTTTTTATAGTATCAACATTAAAGAATTAAATTCAACATCCTACGAAAACGCAGAATTTATTATTTACTGAGGTTTGTGTATTCGTATGTATTTGTTTTGCTGTATTGATTCCTGTACATACTTAATCGTAAAGTGCATTTTAGAAGTGATTTTAGATGGGAAAAGTTTTTGTTTGTTTGCAACACTAGCATCCGTTTTGAACCATAGAGTTTAATTAGGCATAGATGCCAGCGAGTCTAGCTTTGTAGCTCGCGCAGACGCGCTTGCTTGAAGTTTATTTCGTTCTTCTTCATTTCGCAAAATGGCGGATGGAGGCGTGGATATAGATTTGTATGCTGATGATATTGAAGCAGATTTTAATCGTCAGGTGAGCAAGTTTTATTAAAAATATTTATTTTAATAGTATAACACGTTATATTAACCGATTTGCGGCGTGTTTTCAGCTTCATTATACTATGTATCTTGTTATTTAATTTGTTTGGGCGGTCTCCTTCAGGACGAGTTCGGCGGTGAAAATGTGGATTTGTACGACGACGTGATCGCTGCACCACCCAACAAACCGGACGATGTCGATGGACCACCAAATGCGGCACCCCAGCACCAGCATCCACCGGAGGAGACGAACGGGAGCGTGAATTATCACAACAACGCATCAAACCACGGCCATCATGGCCGCCGTTTTCAGCTATACGTCGGCAACCTAACTTGGGTTTGTACATGATTTTGTCTCATTTAGATTATAATGTAAATATAGGAGTTTTATTGTTTTAGATGTCTGTTTTTCTCTTGGTAACGAGAAAAAGGGATGTCGATAGAGCTGCCGTTCGCCACTCTGGTTTTGTTATCGAGCCGTCTAGATAATAATCAATGTTTTACATAAGCTGCTATAATTATGTCAAATATAAGTTGCGTATAATTCGTTCAGGGTTGAGTTTGAACTAAGTAAATTATTTTTATACCCAAACCACATATATTTTCTTGGACGTACTTAGATCAGACTCTCAACACTATGTATAGATCAGGATTCTAATTAAAATCTTCCGAATAGATGTTGGGATTGTGTAAAACATGTTTTTATGATGTATATCTATCTTCTATCTAAATATAAAACATTTTTAATGATAACTTGTTACTAATTTGTATGTGATATACTTATTTCTTAGTAATATCTGGATAATATTCTTTATTAATCAAAATTTGTTATCATTTTGTTGTTAACACTTAAGTGTTATTTTGTAATCTAAAAATTCAGTAAAGTAACATACCTACTGCATTATGTAGTGACTGTGATCTAAGCACAAAACATGTATCAAACCTTTTTCTACAAATTCATCGGCACCAATATCAAAATCTGAGGACAGATGGCAGTTCTTTTCAGCAATCAGATGAAAATGTTGGAACCCTGCAATTGTAACTTACGGATATAACATTCAAATTAAGAAAGAAAATAATTATAACTAAAATTGCACATAGATTGAAATGAGCGATATGTTCTGTAATTTTTCATTTGGTTGCTACATTCTTTATCTAGTTAATGTGCATCTGTGTATAAACAGTAACTGCACAGCCGCACATGTGAGTCACAGGCCTTATTTTTAACATATCATTAAATTATATTTTTTAAAAGTTGAAGTAAAATTTTTAATAAGGCCTTAAATTATTTGTTTGGCTAAATATCTAACTAAAATGAAATCAATAAGTGTAGCAAAATCTTAATGGACTAAGCATTAATGAAGAGTGGTCTTTAACGATCCAAAGCTCTTGTTTAATGCTAGTAAACTATTACTTATTACTTGTATATTTAGTAAACGATTTTGCTATACTACATAATAGAAGCAAAAACAAGGAAGTGTAATTATTGACAAATTAATTTAAGTATAATAACAATTGTCAGCTGAAAATTATTCAGAGATTGGATTAGGTTATGCTAAAAACTATTTGTTACTATTTTGTTCTTTGTTTGTATACATGACACATCAATTTTGATGTGCCTATTTATTACTTTTCAAATATATTTGATTTTGTAGATTTGTTTTGTAAGTTTAGGCTTGTCTTAGCTATTAAATATTTAAACTTCAAAATGTAAGACTAGAGATACATGAATCTTCAATGCCTAGTTGGAACTCCCTACTATATAACAAATATCATTAAAAGGCATGTGCAAAAGAAAATGTAAATGATTTTCTTTAAATTTTTATTTTGTAATAAATTTTTGTATGGCATAGGACTTACCGTCCATAATCCAGTCTCTAGTTACCTACTTAATACTGTTACACACTCTGTAAAGATGTCCTTACATACTTACATAATATTAATTACTAAAACTGTAGCATTTCTGTCAACTGACTTAATCCATTGTTATGTTATAAATCCTAATTTTAGATTGTGTTTAGGAACTTCTTCAAAAACTTCTCAGTGTCACAATTTATACAGGATTTGTAAGATAACTATTGCTAGACTTATTGCTTAATACAACACACATCTTGTTTTTGCTTCATTTTATACAGGTTAAATATACTTATTATATCAAATATCAATATTTTAGAAGCAGTAAATTTTTCACACAGATTGTTCTTAGCAAAAATAATTTCAATAGTATTATAATCTATGTGAAGAAATTTACTATGTTATACAAATACTTTTAGTTCATTTATGCACTGATCAAGGAAAAGGTCTTCGCAATTTCTGAGATATTGTTTCACATGATCTGCAATTTGCAGAATCATGTTCAATCTGTGATATTTTTCATAATGTTCTATTGTTTTCATATTTTATTTTATTGGATTTCATAGTAACATTATTTGGAAATGTGCAAAGAGATATTTGCATTTTAGGATATATTACTATCTATACTATGGTTTGTACATTTAACATCACCATTCCTCATACATTATAGATTAGTTACAGCAAAGGAATATAAGTAACTTGGTATATTTGTTTTGATTGATCCCTTGCTGAATTAGATTTAGTTTCGTTGTAAATAGTTTCATAACTTCATTTATTGAGTAAAATCATTGTTTTTACAAAAACCATGTAGCTAAAATTCATTTGTGCAATTTTAAAAAACGAAATACTGTATGTATTGAAAAATATGATGTTAATGTTATAAAGCAGCAACAGTTGTTAGTTTAGTAGATTGGCTGCAAAGTGATGTGATACATTACAAATATAAAATAATCATGTTCACATTGAGACTTGAAAATGTATTCATGTTACCATAATATCATAGTAATATCATAAAATTCATTTCTGTATAGTTATGGGTAATTCTTTGTTAAATAATAAATATCTGATAGTTGTATAACAAGTCTAAACATACACATAGGAAAAGAACATTGATGTTAGTAGTGTTAGTACACAATACTCAAACCAAAAATAGTTGTTGTTAACTTAAAACTGTATTGACTAAATAGTTTTCGCATGCAGCTGAAACAGTTGCCATCAGTAACAGCTATGTTTGGGTTCAATAAGTACAAGCCATATTTAAAGTTTGTAAATATCTCTTTGATGTATTGCATTGTTGGTTTTGTGGCAGTCACTCTCGCTGTCTTTGTGATTAAGGCAAATTTTGGCATGGCAGTATGAATGTGATTTAAAACCTACTACAAAAGTAATAGACAATTTCAAAGTTTCATGTTTTGCCATTGCACGGATATCTCTTTTTTGACATCCCCAAACCAATAAACATGAAACTTAAATGAACATACTTTTGTGGTTTTCATTGTTGTGAGTTGTGAACACTGAACTCTGAATGTTGAGAAGAATGAATGATTTATATGTATTTATATATTAGTTCATGTAACATAATATATTATATAGATATTTCTCCCAGTGTTTACATGTTAACCACACATCTTTGAATATTTTGCTTGATAATATTAAACACTGTCTTTGCACATATTTTTAGTACAAATATGATACAAGTGTTCTGTATGACATAAAATTAACTTACAATATTGTCAAAATGGTTGTCTGTTATCGTTACTATACATTGCTTTAGTGAATAACATAGAGACTTATGTGTCGCGTACTGTGTGTAGGCTATAAACTAGTTCGTCGGGTGTAGTGAGGGATTGCGTTCTACAATATTATTTCATAACGTAGTGACGTATATAGCGTTATTCGCCTGTTGCAACATGCTTGTCATTTAATAATCGGAATCTTGAGGCAGGACTTGCATGAACATTAATCCTGTTCACTCAATATTCTGGTTTGGTTGACCCTATGTATTTTACTTAACTAATGTTTTTCTTTATCAGGTTTTCAGAGGTAAGATGTTTGAGCTTGTTCCGCGTATTATGTAGCTATTTGTGTCTTAATTTGATTATATTTTTATTGTTTTATTTTCTTTTCTGTTTCTTAAACTTGGCCGATTTGTTTTCACATTTTGTCTGTACTGCGGTTGGAACCTGTCCAATTTTATGTTGTTGTGTAAACATATCATGTACTAATTTTTAATTGGCGCAAATTGTTGAATGTTTATCGCTACAGTAAAATTATAAATACCTGTATCTATCTACTATACCTCTAAAAATGTTTATATCCGGGCGAAAATATTATAATAATACTTATAAATTTAAAAGTATTGACACTATAATAATAGTATTTAAATTCAATAATGTATAGATAAAATAATACTTCGCGTCGTCGCACGTAATTTATATATTCTGTCAGGATTTTGTATCACGTTTTCTATAGTATTACAAGGATTGTAATTAAAGAATATTCCATTGTTATATTTCCCTGTAACATTTCAATATTGGCAGATAGTTGATAGCATAAATACATACATTGTTTTAATGCTAAAATTAATATTACTTCTTACTTATGTAATAACTCCCTGCTTAAAACATTTTTGTACGTAAGGTATTTTATTTAAATCTTGTCTAGTGTACCAAAGTATTTATCACCTATCTTCGTTAGACTGATTTTGAATAATTTAAGTCGTGATACAATTAAAGTGTAAAAACTTTGTTACTGACTAAAGATGTTGAATCCTTGTACTAAGTGAGTTATCCTTCCTTACTGTTGTGGAGGATCCCGTGTCCCGTTTGAGAGTGATGGAGTCTGCAGTTTTGCGAACTGCTCTATTTATTTAACTTGATACTTCCGATATCTGTGATAAAGTTATATGAATGACAATAAAAATATGGTAACAATAAAATCTGTTTCCTTTTTCCCAAAGTCTCCTGATAGATGCGAGAGTACGACATTAGTAAAAAACATAGTGCTTCGTCTTAAAATTAGTGCAAAAAGTTAGATGAGTGTAGGGTTTACAGACACGTTTTGAGTGACACATTCATGTTGGCTTTGTACACTTCACAAATATTTACGGAAGTTAGGTGCATTAGCTGGCGTATGAATAAATCGCGTTAAATATCAATGACTTAGACATTCGCGCTAAATGGTTATGTTGTTGGACGCGGTACCATACGTCAGAGTCGTGGCTGGCTTCATCACGTATGTATACAATTTATCGCTTAGCTGACCAGCTTGTATCGTGGTTTAGTTTTTGGTAAAACCTTTTGCAGTGGGCGACGGATCAAGACATTGCTAACGCCATCGCAGACATTGGCGTTACTGATTTTCAAGACGTGAAGTTCTTCGAGAATAGGGCGAACGGACAGTCGAAGGGGTTCTGCGTCATATCCCTCGGCTCTGACCAGTCCATTCGGATGGTAATGGACAGACTGCCCAAGAAAGAGATACATGGACAACATCCTGTCGTCACTTTACCAACTAAGCAGGTAAGTAGGGAGGGGAAATGGTTCATCTTGAATACAGAAATGAATTATTAGATACAAATTAAATTGTTTCAAAAAATAGATTACATCAGCGAGATTCGCCCGAGTCTGCAATTTCAGAATCACGCTCGTGTTATTTGTTGGTCAAACAATTTAATCTGTATCGTGGCAAGTAAGTAATCTCCTAAAAGCAGGGGAGGAAAGTAGGCATATCAGGATATATTTTTGAATATTAAGAACTAGTAAAAATAATACTAAATTAATCAAATGATACGGCTAACGTAAACTGTCCTAAGATGGAGGGCAGATATCTGACGTTTGTCTTGCACATTATCAAATTATTATGAGCCCCAGCGTAACTTGAAAATATTCGAGAATCTTTGAAAAGTTTACGTATGCTGGCTGTGTATTTTGATTAGATTCGGAATTTCATAGATGAAATTGGAGTCGTTATTGTTATAAAAACTTGTTGCTGAGTTAGAGTAAGTTACAAATCTTTGAAAGTACTAAGAATTAAAATTGTTAGGTTAACTCGTTAAAGTAGGTAGCATATAGCATTTCAATCTCTAAAAACAATAACTTGGCCCCTTCGCACACGAAACGCATCGTAATACTAAAACAAATATTTATCATATGAGTCCTATTGTATGTGTTTGTTATCATAACGATCAATAGTAAAATGTCAGAATTAAGTTTACGACACGACATCGTGTGCCAAAGGGGTCAAGTTTTCGATTTTCCTTTGGGAAGAGTACCGTAATTTTTGGTAGGAATTTAAACTTTCAACAGTTGTGAGCGATTACAATATCGATTCAGTAGTCTAAACGATAAAGTCCACATATAAAACATCACGATTTGATTTCACTATAACTAGTACTTAATTTCATATTCTACAAGTCTCACTACTTTTCCCAGAGTACTGGAGTATGTGGTAGACTTGATCTTTACAATGTATGATAATATTGCTAGTAGGATACAACGAAAGTTTATTTCACAGGCCTTGAACCAGTTTGAGAGTCAGTCTAAGACTAGATCGACACCACCTGGACCTAACAATCCAGGTATGAGAGGACCACACCCGGGCGGCCCGCCCGGTCCACACCCTGGAGGTAAAACTATTCGATGGAACATATAACAACCAGCCTAAAACTCCCGAAAAGGGCAGGCAAAAGCGAATAATTACTAACCTCTCGCCAGTTATGTTATAAAATTGTAACAAGTACGAAAATGTGCAGTTACTAACATGCCCCTGTTTTTGAAACAAATCTAAACTTCAGTATTTTACTAAAGGGGCATGTAAAGAGGACCGTAACGACTTAATAATATTGGGATGGAAATAATTGCTTATGTTTATTTTCTATCAAAAGTAATAAAGTTTGGTCCTCTTATATTGTAAAGATGTTACTAACAATACTAACATTTAAATAAGTACCAGCATACGTGAACCCGTGTCTACTACACTGCTGAGCTTAAAGATAATTATTTTGTAAACGTTGAAATCTCCAAACTTATTGAGATTTCTCCATCCCATTGCATACAAATAAAATTTTTGAATACATGGCAAAATTACATTTTATATTCGTAACTTGGAGCATACGAATAGTATTGCTCCATCAACACTGCGATAAGATACATTTTAATACACATTTTTATGTCTTTTTTTAACATGGAGCTTATAGAACAAGATACTGACACGAGAATGTTAAACAGATTTCTTTGGCGGTGGTCCAAATGGGCCAGGCCCCAACGGTCCGCGCATGATAATGCCGGGCGGGGCGCCGCACCACCAACTGCGTGGGCCGGCTGGCGGTGCGCACGGGCCGCACGGTCCGCACGGGCCCCCGCACGGTCCGCCGCACCATATGCCGCAGCACCAAGGACCACCACCACACCACATGCAGCACCAAGGACCTCCACCGCATCAAGGCCCTCCACCAAGGGGACCACCTATGCAGGTTTGTCAAGATTTTTGCTAGATGCTAACGTGACTTACTCTATTTATGGATAAACAAGACATCTGTTTATATAAAAACTAGCTTTTACCCGCGGCTTCACTCGCGTCACAAAAGAATAAAAAGTAGCCTATGTGACATATACCAATACAATATACAAAATACACACAGCGCCATCTATACCAATACTTTTGTTTTTCCTCGGGAATATCAATTTTTTCCGGGTTAAAAAGTACCCTATAATTTAATCCGGACTTCTAACTTTACGTCTGCAAAAATTCAAAGCAATCGGTTGAGTAGTTACGGCGTGAAGGTGGAACAAACAAACAAACAAACAAACTCACTTTCAGATTTATAATATTATTATATATATAATTATTATATATTATATATTATATATATTTTATTATATATTATATTATTATATTATATATATTATATATTATATTATATTAGTAAGGATAAATCTTGAGTTTCTTTTTATTTTTTATAAAACATCCGTTTTTAAATATTAATACATTTATCATGAAAATTGGTTCCGTTTCCTCTGTTCTCGATTGTTTGTAATTAATTAGTCACTTACATTCATTTAATTTATTACAATTTTGTGGTTTTAATCGAAAAACATTTTGTGAATAGTTCCAAGGCCCACCTCAGCTACAACGCGGGCCTGGTGGTCCCGGAGGTCCAGGTGGTCCCGGCGGTCGTCCAGGACCGGACTGGGGACCGCGCGGGCCGCCGCAGCAGTTGCCCCCGCACCCACAACCACAATACGGGCCTCCACAACATCAGATGCCTCATCAAATGCCACCACCCCACCCGGTTGGTATAGTTATCAGAGAAGTCAACATTTTTAAAGCTAAAAACACGCCTTAGTCGTATATCTTCCTCATAGGAGAAATAGTCTTAATTACGATCCTAAACTCGATGTTTATAAGCACGCAGTCTAAGGTTCCATAAGCCACTAGCTTGATGATAACATAATTTTGCATTGTCGTGATGTTACAACAATTAGAAGTGCGTATAATCCAGATTACATAGTTCGTTACAAGTCGATCTAATAAAACCGTCTTAAAAAGGGCGAAAGCTGTGGGTTCTAATAGAGTTTAGAATAAGGTTCATTACCATACCATTATTATATTTCAGGGCGGTGCGGGTGGTTTGCCCCCTGGCCACGCAAGTCTGGCCGGCGTGCCCCGGGGCCCGGCCCCCTTGCCCCATCATCCAGGTATGCCCCCCTACCCAGGTACGCATTCATTCATTTTCTTTATCATTACTGCTACTAAAAATACTAACAAACTAACAATGAATTTCAGAGAACAACTGGTAAAATTCTTTGAAGTTTGGTGAACTTGTAAACTTCTAACCTAATAACCAGTAACATTATGTTTAAAAACACGATACTGTTAATGATCTTATTTTAAGTTATTAGTATGTTTTCAATTATGCGTGTAGTGATTTGCAACAAAACGTTAGAGAAAGTAACAGTAACTTGTAATATGAATTTATCATAAATGACCCTCCAATTTCAAAATAACTGATTTTTACTATATAAATCTTTTTAGTATTGTTTATGCTAAATGTCCGGCCCTAATGTCTCTGTTTCAAGTCGATTTTTAATTATTTTTATTCCTGTCCCCCTTAGTTTTATTTTCAAGCAAAAGTAGCATCATTTCACTACATTAAAGCTTAATTAATGTATGTTTTCTGTCTGTTGTCTGTGTCTTTGTCATTTGTTATGTTTAATGTTGAGTGTATACTATGTTATTGACTGGCAAATGTGACCACCAAGCAAAGAATCTCGGGTTCGAATCCCAGACATGACCATAGAATCTTGATTACTATATTCTTTTATTTTTATTATTTATATATATTATTATATATATAGATAGAATTACTGTATTCTTCGAAGGAGTAATTTAATGTTTTAACATAACAAAGGGAGGCAGTGAGATTACTGATGATCCTTTTACTGGCTGCAACACATGGTGGCTATCGTTTTTCTGCACCAATGTATGTTTGTTGTGTATGTTGTAGCAAATAGTTAGATTGAAAAGAGACCTTTGCTACACTAACGATTGTAGCCGTAGCATTTACTGGTTAATACCTCTACGAGTAGTTGAAATAAGTGCAGGAGTATAAAGCGTGGTGTTATTTGTCTGCAGGCGTGGGTGGCGGCGCCCCCGCCCCGCACGTGAACCCAGCCTTCTTCGCGCAACAACCGCCGGTACAACCACAGCCCGCTGTACAACCGCCACCGCAACCTGGGCCGCCTGGTAACAAATAAACATAATTATTAAGCAACAAATAAACATTAATAGCAACAATGCACGGCAAAAATTACATTGTGAGTCTTGAAGAAGGTTTAATTGAGTTAAGACTTATGTAATTGAATTAATTACTAGATTGTAAACGTAGACCACGTAACTCGAGTAGTTTTGTACTACGTGAGGGTTATGATCTGTCCAGCATTGTGCGATAAATTACGCAACAAGTTATTAAATATATGAGGCGGGCATCAATTCACATTATACTATTGTAACAGGTCCAGGCGCACCATACGGTCACCCAGCTCACGGCGCTCCACCACCGGCACAAGGACCACCGCCGGCTGCAAGACAACCATATGGAAGACCACCTCAGGTATGATTCAAATATTTTATGTGATAGTACAGTTTTATTGTTGCGTGTTGATATATTTAATATAGAGTGATATAAGCAAATATCTCCTGATTTTAAGTGATGTCGTTCATGGTATAATAGTGGCAGGTTGGTCAAATATGACTTTTATCACATTATCTTGTCACACCATAAGTTTTGTTTGTTGTATTGCGTCATTGTGTGTGTTAACAATGGCTTGTTTGTGGTGCAGAACTACCCGGGCGCCGGCGAGGCAGGGCGCGGCGCGCACCACGGGCCCGGCATGGGCGGAGCACACCCCGCGCACGCGCCGCACGCCCCGCACGCCCCGCACGCGCCGCACGCGCCCCACGCGGCCCACCCGCCACACGCGCCCACGCCGGCATCAGCGAGGCTGAGTTTGAAGAAGTCATGTCTCGCAACCGCACAGTATCATCCAGCGCCATTGCCCGCGCTGTCAGCGACGCTGCGGCCGGAGAGTACGCCTCCGCTATTGAGACTCTCGTCACTGCTATATCACTTATCAAACAGAGCAAGGTAAGCTCATAACTATGTCAACTTACTTCTTCTTTACGAAACAGTATGGCAGAATGCAATGGCAGCAAAATGTTTGTGAGCGTGATGTATGAATAGGACGGACAGTTACTGTGTTCTCTCTGGACTTCACGGGAACCTCGCTCATGTAGGGAGTTCTAAGTCAAAGAACTATATAAAACAATCCTTAAACTTTCAACCCTTTACTAATTTATCACAATACATAATATAATATTTTAAATATTTTCATCAACAGGTCGCACACGACGATAGGTGCAAGATCCTAATATCATCACTGCAAGATACGCTGCATGGCGTTGAAACTAAGTCATATGGTAGTGGGGAGAGATCTCGGCGGTCTAGGTCGAGAGACCGCGATGCACGCGCGCATCACCGAACGCCCAGGCGGCGAGAGAGATCTGCGAGCAGATACCGCGACCGCAGCAGGGATCGGGAGGATCGCGACAGGTAAAATTACCAGTTACATACTATAATATTTCACACAGCCTCTGCAATGCGCTTAATACAAAGAAATCTCTGTTTATGCAGTAAATTTTTGTTTGCAATACATGGAGTAAATTCTTCAATCTCCCTGCCTGTAGGTTTGGAAATAGTGTAGAGTACTATTAAAAAAAAACACATGTGTTACATGCTTAATCTATTTCGACAGTGGCAAGTTTCACAAGTATGTGTAGTTCTTACACTATGTAGGAGATCTTATAGTTGCACAATTATGGTGTATTTAACAATGGCTTTACGTGCTATGCACTGCAGTCGACCCATGCACAATGTGTCGCTTAACTTTTGTTGATAAAAACTCAACTAAAACGCATTTGCGCTGTCTACAAAGTGCGGGTAAATTAAGTAATTTAATTTTATACACATCACATTTCATGACAAGTACGTTATTTTACGTTCGATTAGTAAGTCATTAGGTAGTATCATCATACATAGTCATGCATGTAATCATTAATCATCGCAAGAGGGCTAACTAGGTAATACGAACGAGTGACGTTCTATGTTCCAGTCGTAGAGTCGGCGGCTCTTATACCGTTAAAGTATTACTGACGCTCTGCCCTTGCTTGCAGGTACAGGGAACGGTCGAGGGAACGTGATCGTGAACGTGACCGCGATGCGTAAGTGTCGCGTTTCTTCACAAATGCTCGCTACCATCACGCACGTTTACCTTTGGCGTGACAGTATACTAGGTTCTTTATTAGCTGGTATTCGGTGTTCGCTTGTATTCTCTTTCTCATTATCCTTGACACGAAGTAACGACTCAAGTAGTGAAGATTTCGACGTATGCTTGTCATGTGTACCCCTGCGTCAGTGTGGTTTCCATTCCTATACTTAAAGCTGATTGCCCAAGTAAATAAAGGTATTAATAGAAGTCATGTCTTTGTTACAGGTATTACAGAGACTACCGTGAGCGTGAACGCGACAGGTCTAGGTCTAGGGAAAGGGAACGTGCCGACCATTACAACAGAGGTCATAGCCGTGAAGAGAGGTAATTATCATTGAGATTCATTAAAATAGACCTTAAGTCGAGATATGTTCCGTCCCGTAAATTGTTTCTATTATCGCTGATATATCGCACCCTTAAAAATAAAAAGATGTAACTCAAAAACTACAACTTGTGGGAATCGGCGATTAAAGTTTTCAACTTATTCCGACTTGTCTTTGATTCAAAGTTTTAGACCACTTACTAGGTGTTTCGATAATCTAACTACTGATTTTGATTGTCAAAACTATGGCCTTTTAATATAAATGGTTAATTTTATACTAATTATCTATTATACCTTAAAAAAATGAAGCAAAAAAAAAAGTTTTGAGTTAAATCAGTTTATGCCAAAAAATTCTAGTTAGTAGATCAAATGAACATGCAAAAATTCTAAATAATTCTCTTTTATACAAATTAGCAAGAGCATATTAAAATATATTCTAAAATACTTCGTTTTATTATTAACCAAAATATGATAATATTGGCTTTTATTGCATCATTTTGCAATAAAAAAATATTGTTTTTTTAAATGAAACAAAATTTGCACTGAATAATCAACCATAAAATTTATTATAAATTAACATGCCGCCGCACATATTCATGATTCCCTTTTGGAACCTAGATTATAGGCAATCTAGTACAAATATTCTCAATTTTTAAATAGAAATAGTTAAACATAATTATTATCTAAAATAAAACCAATACCAAATAATCACTACTTCAATTTTACACAAATTTCAACAAAACAATAGCTCACAGTTAAACACTTTATAATCATTAAATAATAATCAAATTATTAGCAAGTCAGTCTTGCATTATGCATATCACTAGTTGAGATTCAAAATATAATATAATTAAGTAATTATTTCAAAGTACACTTAGAAAACAATCAGTCTAGTAATTTAATACTTAGTTTTAACTAAGTTCTAAAATAATAATAATAACATAAAAATTAAACTTAAGATCAAAAATTAACAGTATCATAGAACAATTCTTTAAAACAGTTTAAAAGTCTCACTATATTTAAACTTTATTAAAAAAAATAAAAATACTTTGGCAGAAAGGAACTTAATTTGTGGCAATACACTCATAATTGTGTGTAAAATATTTATTACACTTTGTAAAAAACAGTATTCATCATTCTTTAAGTAGCATCAATATTAAACAATGGAATTATAAAAACTTGCATAAAAGGAGGGAATCAATTTCTTTGTTAGTAAATCTTTTAGATCTTTTTTCTTATTTTCACTTAGCTGTTGTCTTTGGCTATATGCTTTATCTAGAGTAATCGCAGTTATTGGGCCCATTTTTTTTCTTTTGTTTCTTATATCAACTTGTTTAAAATTAGTATCACTGTAGGAAGTTTTATAATAAAAATGAAATGGTTTTGATTTCACCATCTGCAAAACCTTTACATCATTCCAATTTACAGTATTCCCATCTATGTCTACACTAAAGTTGTAACCCCACTGCTCTTGAAGAGACTTTAAGTTGATAAAAGACTCAAACGTCATTTCATGAACATTAATTGCAGGTTTACTTTTTTTTGCAGTTTTAATAAGTGTAACATACTGGTCTGGACTATAAATTGGACCTGCTTTTAAATTTTTCTTTACCTCTTTTTCTATTAGGCTGTGCACACTGTCTGCTTCATTTTGTGTATGTCCCCTTATCATAAATTTATGTGTTATACTAGAAATATTTAGATTAGTTACTGCATACAAATATAGTGGCGATATATTTATTTTTATTCTGCCCACAGCAGTTGTCTGAGTAAAAAATAATTTGTTTCGGTTCCTCGTCTTTTGCACACAGATTTTGTAAATATTCCCAAATGCAAGAGCCGATCTCATTAGCACCTCGTTTAGCATCTACCTCAGTCCAAAAGAAACAGTAAACATTGTCATATGCTTTTTTATCTCCATTTAGTAGCTCTGTCATGGTCAAATTATAGCTGTTTAGTTTCGACTTATAATAAAAAGCCGAAGTATCACCCTCGGACACTGTAAACAGCTTCTAAGTCATAGATAACTACTCTAGAGTCTTTGGTTATATTTTGACGATCGGCAAATTTTTCAGCACGACTCAAGGTTTTCTCCTGCATATGCTTATAGTATTTATCTTCCAAAACTTGTTTCTGTTCAACATTTGAATTGTGATATGATGTGCATAGATCACACTGATCTTTCTTTGGTTGGTGAAATCCCAAATTAAATTCATTGTTAAATATTTTGTAATATGCCATATAATTACCTACCTCCTGTTAGTATTTCTTTGCTGTGCAGCAAAATCATTGTACAAATCCTTAATAGTCTTATCACGCCAATGTACTGCTTTGACGTCGAAGCTCGAACATAATGTGAATCTAGTTTTGGAATCGTATTGATATGTTTTCGAATATCATCTAGTAACTGTGGGTTAAGTTTGTTGTGATTATTATGTCTCCCTCTCAGGTCATCAAGCATAAAACCATCGTTCATTCTAGATTGCACCGTGTAAATCATTCTTTCAGATATAGACAGTGTATTCTTTAAAAAAGTCTTACACACTCTTATTTTATTATCATTTAAAATAAAATAAAAAGCTTTGTTTGGACGTCTGGGATTTTGGGAATTACTGTATTTATATTTGGGGGTAATATTTTCCATACACGTTCGTAAATAGGCCCTCTGTGCTACTAAGTTCCCTAGGTCCCAAAAGGAGCTAAATAAGTGGTATCTCCCCTCATCATCGATCTTATCTTTACACTTTAATTTACAGTTTTCGTTACATGTGTCTTTCATAAATCGAGCCGGAACAGTTTTACGTCTTTTTGACATCGAGACATACGATTCGCCTTTATTACGAAGTTGCTTCGATCGCACTTGCTGCCACTTCTCAATTTTTCGTGATCTCTTGCGTCCTCGACGACTATTATTTGTTTCGATATTGGAGTCAGAGGAATCTGAAGTTGATCCTTCAAAGAGAAAGTTCTGTCTCCTAATATGCTTTCTAGGTATTGAAGTATAATCTATGGTAGGATCATCGTCGCTGAGATCAATATCACTTTCATCCGAGTAAATAGGGGAAATATTATAATTAGACACGCTGTTCTTATTTCGACGCGCTCTTTGCTGAATAACTTGTTGATCCTTACTAACTTCTGGAGCATTACTGGAGCTTGAAGAACTGGATGAAGATGAGGATGAACTAGAAGAAGTGGAACTAGACGACGACGAAGATGTGCTGAAGGATCGAGAACGTTGCGTATTATTGCCTGAGATCGGCAAAATTTGAGAGTCGTAATCAGCAGGCTCGGCATTGTTGTTTAGGTGTATACTATCATCATTTTCACTCACTGTTGAATCACTGCTATAATCAGGTACTAGGCTAACGATTTTTGTAACAGTAGGTAAATCCTGTTTCAAATCAAATTTTTCAACTGTTATTGGCATCGGCTCAGAATCTGGAGATAGATTTTCCTGATTTTCATTATCTACATGGTATTCTCTTCTGGTCTGAAATAAAAATGACAAAACTAATATTAATATTAGTTCAATTCATCAATCATGAACAGGCAATTTTTAAATATAATTTAAGTTAACTAAATTGTTTACAATTTTCCTAGCGGCACCTTGAGGTAGGTAGGGTGCTCTGCGCTGTATCTGTTTCCATAAGAATTTGGAGATAAAAATAAACAGAGTTTAATCTATCCCAGTACCAGTTTAAGTCTAAATCCGTTCAGTGGTTTTGCGATGATTAAGTAACAAATTAATATTAGCAAGTAGGTATTATTATTAGTAAGATTATAAAAATTACAAGTAACAATAAAGGGCAAAATTAGTATCTTAAATGACAGCTAAAAACTTAATTTATCTTATTTTGAACCCGTAAGTATTGGCTATGATAATTATATAATTATTTACCTCATCCTGACTAATTATGTGCTCGAGTTCTTCATTACTAGATGGTTCTTGGTTATTTCCAGCTTGAACCAAACCTAGAATTCTACGGGACCTCCAAGATGACGCCATTGTTCTATAATAACCTAAAAAGTTAAAGACGAACAATGATTGTAAATTATAATTTGAAAATGGTATTTTCGAATAAACAGCGGTAACGTTAAACATTTCATACAATTTCCCATTCGCGTAAATAGTAAAAAGAAGTAAATCAGAATCTTACTTTAGGTACTGTTTATGTTTTACTATAAAGCGATGGTTACTCAATTACTCCAATGAAAAAGACGTATTTTTTTAAATGAAACTGAAGTATTATGTTATAATTTTTCGAACATGCTAAATTTTCAAAACAAAACAGAATTAATACAAATCATCATCAAATTATTTTTCTAAAAAAACGAAGTATCTCAAAGATCATGCATTTTATTATAAAATAATTGTAAACTTTCATAGTTACCTTTTAGTCAAAAACAGATTAATTTCGTGTTACACCACCATTACACCACAGAACAACACTCCCACTCTCAGTCACTGCCGGTTCATCACTGAATCACGCCATTTATTAGAATCGTCCTGTCCAATCCTGTTTATTGAAAAGAGAAGACCGATCGCGTATCTCGCTCAAATTTGACGGATCGAGACGGCTGTTGAATTCTACCTAATCTTTACGCAATGAATATGCGTTTTATTGTAAAAAGTCAAAATTCGTAAATTTTGTGTTACATCTTTTTATTTTTAAGGGTGCGATATATAATGATTAACGTTAATTACTATTAGTTCTACCACCAGGCCGCGCAAGTCGCCAGTAGAGCCGACAGCGGAGAGTGGTGCGGGAGATGCTTCGGGAGCCAAGTCTCGCGCGGCGGGGGCGCCGTACTATGACGAAAGATACCGCGAGCGACGCGAGAGGGAGCCACCGCCGGCTGACCGCGAGCGAGACCGCGAGCATCGCCGCGACGCGAGGCACTAGCACAGGCCGCGCGGCCTCGCTCCGCTCCGATCACTGCAACCACTCCAACCACATTACACAGAGTACAGACACTTTAGGATATGGGTCCGACAGTACACACAATACATACACAGAACCTGGTACCAAGGCGCCATGTTATTTCATAAATACTTATTTTGATAGTGAATTGAACATCATTTCTACTCCATCACCATTAGAAGTCAACATGTTACGCTTGTCAACATGCCATGCAAAATTTTCTTTTTTAGTCACTATTTCTAGTACTTACGTTGCGTGCGATTTGTTATCTGTGTGTGGTATATATGGACCTTTCTGTGGAGGAAAAAGTTGACATTAAAAACGTTTGATATTAGGTACAAATCCGTTTAAAACAGGGATTTTAAGTTCCGGACAATACCGATTAGGGTATAAAATATTGTGCAACTTTTGTCATGCCTACTTGTAATGGATACTGAACAGAATCGACCTCTAACCGAGCGAGAGTCTGGTTATTATTATTCTAAAAAGCAATATGTACTGAAATTCTAAAATACTTTTAATAGTTGAATTTTAAGCAGTAAGTAACCAAAGGATTAATAGTAAAATCCGTTGTTTTTTAATAGAATAGAATATACGCCGTAATGAACTATTTAACCAAATAATTTTGTATTTTTGCAATGCAAGATGTAAATACAAACTGGATGTGTAGATTGAAAACATCACTAGAGCGATTCGTTTGCTCAGACATTCGTAGATCAAATTGTTTTCAAGCCTACATTAATTTCAAAATTTCCATTTGTTTTGCAGATGTTAGGAAAATTGACATTCCAAAAATCCCTCGTACACTTTGATCAAACTACAAATTCTGTGTTTATTTCAGATTAAGTTTAGACCATGTGTGTCCTATATATCTGGAAAAGATGTTGTATTATGTTCACGTAATTTGTTTTGTCACCGTCATGGTTTAATTTTTAGCCATCAAGCATATTGTATTACTTTTTATTTTCCACTGGTTTTTAATAACTAAGTTTTCAATGAGAAATCTATCAGTAACACTGTAAGATTAGTCATGTAAGTTTTAAGATATTCTTATAAATATATGGATGTTCCATATGATTAGATTATGACACTGATTTAGTTGTTAATTAAATAAATTGATGTAATACATAAAGCAAAAGTTGTTTATATTTTTAAATACCTTATTTTATTATTGTAAGCTTAAATAGAATTTTTATAACATTACAATTTCCATGTGTGGCCGCTTGTGTTCTTCTGTTAAAAAAATAATAAAGGTTGCGCGGTTTAAAATCATCCCTGAGGTTTACTATAGATAGGCTGCTAGCAAAAATTCATAGTGTAACGGGGGTTTTAAAAATAAAGATAACCTAGTCTATGGTATTAATATCTGTGGTAATAACGTAACGCTAGAAGCCAATAGGCGCGCGCTCGCGACCGCCCCTTCCCGCCACCCGCTACCCCGCGCGCCAGCGCAGGGGTGCGAGTGGAGGAGGAGAGAGAGCCCCGACCACTGACGCGTACGGACGTGTTGAAGAATCCTCCGCGGCTCTAAGTCGCGTCGCCATTTTTTTAATCTAGAACTTTCCTGTACCGATCTGTATTAGAGTTTAATGTGGATAATGTAACTTTCGGTGATTTTAATGAGCAATAAATGTACTTTTGCCTATTAAACTGGCGCCCAAGCTAGTGGCCGAACCGTATTCGACCGTTACGAATGATCCAGTGCCTACGTGACCGCGGGTAAAGTACCTACTGACCCGAATCCACTCGCCACCTTACCGTTGTCATCAATAACGTGAAGATGCCGACAACGAGGAGAGGTGAAGCCCTCCGGCAACAGCACGGAGAAGACGAGGGAAACGTCACGCTCACTGAACAGGAGAGCGTCGCCGAGCGCGGCCACGCGGACGCCGCCGCGAGTGCCGGCTCGAGGTCGACACATCCAGCTCCCCAAATTACCCCAGACTTTTTATCCACGCTAATCGAGACGATTACGCGTGCGCAAGTGGAAGCTAATAGGAGTCTCGTTAGCACGCTGATGGGATCCGGCGGCGACTTCAGGGCATCCACTCCAGTCGGGCCCTCTCCATCATCGAACGCGACCGGCGGAGATACCGCCGTCGCGGCTCCGCCGTGCAGTGACGCTAACTTCACAAAGTGCACGGTGAGATTCAACGGGACCTCCCCGGACGCTGAGGTCCTGGAAGCATTCCTGGACGCCGTCGAGGTCTACAAGGAGTGTGCAGCGGTGAGCGACGAGCACGCCCTGCGTGGGTTACCCATGCTACTGGAGGGCGAAGCCGCCGTGTGGTGGCGCGGCGTAAAAGCGTCGGTACCTACGTGGACGGACGCGATCGCGCGCCTCCGTGCGATGTACGGCGTGGCGCAGCCCGCGCACCTCATCCTGCGCGAGATCTTCGCCAGGGAACAACAAGAAGAACGTGCAGAGACATTTTTGTGTAAAGTGCGCGCGTTAATCGCAAAGTTACCGTATTCTTTAGATGAAACTTTGCAAGTTGACATTTGTTACGGATTATTGCATCGACGCGTAGTGAAACGAGTCCCGCGTGATAGTGTTCGTAGGTTAGACGACCTATTATATAAGGCTAGGATCGCGGAGGATACCTACAAAGCGTCTAAGGTGAATAATACCAATAAAATACGCGAAAGTAATTCGACCACTATCGCTACTACCGACCGTGTTCTCACGCAATCGAATTGCGCTGCCACGAGTGCGACCGCGTCGCGTTGCAACAACAGAAATAGACCGCGTTGTAGTTATTGCAAGCTTTTTGGGCATGTTAGTGACGAGTGTCGTAATCGCGAGAAACCTATTTCCAGTGGAAGTAATAATACAGCACCCAAGGAAGTACGTTGTTACGGGTGTGGCAAGCAGGGCGTCGTGAGGTCGAAATGCGATGTTTGCTTAAAGACAACGACGAAACCCGACGGCAAAACATCTTTCAACAATGTTGATATAGATTTTTGTATAAATAACGTCGATGTTAGGAATAGTAGTCATATTAATAGTAGGGTCGATACTGATTCATGCGTAATTATTACTAACGCAAGTATGTGCAACGACCATCCGATGGTGAATATAAGTGTTATGGGCCGTAGTGGTGTGGCGATAGTAGATACCGGCGCCACGCACAGCATTGCGAGTCCCCTATTATACCGAATTTTAGTAAACTCGGGAGTTACATTTACCGAAACAAAACGTTACGTGCGCCTGGCCGACGGCACACAAGGATGGCGGGACCTGCTGTCAGCCGAGACAGAGGTCATCATTGCAGAACGGCGGGTGACATGCCAGTTCCTGGTGTTGCCCGGCAGTGATATCCGAACACTTTTAGGCGTAGATTTTTTAGCCCGGGCCGGTGTAGTAATAGACGTCGCCCAACGTACATGGTCGTTCTCAGACAGTCTGGAACGCTATGAGCTGGTATACTCCTATACTTTGAATCCTGCCGATGGTGCCGACACCGGTCTACTACATACTGGGTCCTCCGATGACATAGCGCTGCGACCGGACGAAGGTTGTAAGTTAAACCCCGAGCAGCGACAGACCCTTAACAGGTTCATCGGAGACCGCGCGTCGCAGTTTGCGCGCGACGGCCCGGCAACTGAGTTCGCGTTGCATCGTATAAAGGTAAGTCCACAACAGGAACCGATCGCTAGTCCACCGTACAGGATGTCGCAAAATAAGAAGGAGGCTTTGCAGAAGGAGCTTGATAAGCTGCTGCGAGACGACATCATTGAAGAATGCGAGTCACCTTGGGCCTCCAATGTCGTACTCGTAGGTAAGAAGGACGGCAGTTGGAGACTTTGTGTGGATTACCGGAAACTCAACGAGGTAACCGAGCCCGACCGGTACCCCCTGCCGCGTATCGAAGACATACTGCATGCCGCCAAAACCAGTGAGTATATGACTACTCTTGATCTTCGCTCAGGGTACTATCAGGTGAGCGTTTCCCCAGAAGACCAAGATAAGACGGCTTTTACAACGCCACTCGGTACCTTTAGATTTAAGCGAATGCCGATGGGGTTGCGGAATTCCGGAGCTACCTTTCAGAGGATGATGGATCGGTTCCGCTCCAATCTGAAGGGAGTAGAGCTCCTGGCGTACCTGGATGATCTTATTTTGCTGTCACCGGGCCCTTTCGAGAGGCACCTGGCCGATCTGGAGGCGGTCTTCGATCGACTTGCCATGTTTAAGTTACGAGTTAACAGGGACAAGAGCGTCTTTGCAAGGGAAAGTGTAAAATTCCTAGGACACGTCATCGTCCCAGGTGGAATCCAGGTGGATCCTGACAAGACTGCAGCCGTTGACAACATGGCCGCCCCTCGGAATGTTAAGCAATTGAAGTGCTTCCTACAAACGTCGAGTTGGTACCGACGTTTTGTTAATAATTACGCAGAAATCGCGAGACCCCTAACTAACCTCCTGAAGAAGTCAAGTGCTTGGCAATGGGGCACTGAACAGCAGGAGGCGTTTGAGCGCATCAAGTCCCTTCTCGTTTCTGCTCCTATTCTCCGCCAGGCGGACGAATCAAAACCTTTTACCCTTTGCACTGATAGCAGCGCCTATTGTCTCGGAGCTGTTCTCATGCAGGGGGAGGGTCATGACGAGCGGCCGATCGAATACGCGAGTCGGCTCCTCACTAGCGCCGAGAGGAACTATTCCACGACCGAGCGAGAGGCACTCGCTGTCGTGTGGGCACTTGGCAAGTTCCGCGGGTATGTGGAGACCGCGAAGGTCATCGTTAGGACGGACCACCAGCCCTTACGGTGGCTGATGAGTCAAAGGTCGCCTAGCGGTAGACTGGCCAGATGGGCTTTAACTCTGCAAGAATTTGATCTCAGCATTGAGTACACACCCGGCCGCTCAAACGTGGTCGCAGATACCTTGTCGCGACCAGTTTGTGAAGGCAACCAGGATGAGTGTGACCTGCGGATGACCGTCGTGGATATGCCGAAGAGAAGCAGTGGTGATATCCGCA